TCCGGGCTGCACAAAACACTGTGTGCCCTCAGTGGATTAAAAACATCCCCGCTTCCTACAGCAGATTGGGGTCAGGCTGCTGCTCCGGGTACCTACAGGCCAGGAAAGGAGTTGTACATGAGCAGACACCACCTGAGGAGGCATCATGAGCAGCTTTGCGGCCAAAAAGTGCCATTTTTAGACTGAAAACAAACAAAAAAAACCTCCCAAAGAGTTCAGCAGGCACCTTGCAGCATGTTTTCCTTTCTTCAGCCACAGGGATGATGTTACTTGGAATTGTAACCTGCTGTATGGACTGTGGGCTGATCCTCTGGCTGTCAGGGACCTGATGGGGACCAGAGATGGTTTGAACACTCCTCTGTACCCAGCAGTGGGTCTGGCTCTGCTGGAAACACTCACATCAGCCCCACATGTGCCTTGTCAAGGACTTTTGCAGCACTTTAGGCCAGATTTAATGAAGGGTACGTTGGGCAGAGGGGGAGCGAGCACCGTCCCACGCTGTGTGGAGGAAGGTCTGCCTGCAGAGCCCGATTCCTCAGCTCTAATTACAGGAACGGGTGGCTTTTCCCTTCTCAGGCTGAAAAAAATTGGCTCAGAAATCCTGAGAAACCACAACACAAATGTCTGACGCTGTTCCACATGGTCTTGAGCGAACAAAAACCCTCTTGAAATCAGCCCTTGCCTCCCAAAATAGGCAACACCACTTCAAAAGGGAAGAGAGGGGGGGGAAAAAATCCCAAACTCAAGGCTTCACAGGGTGAGAGCACTTGCAGCCTCAGAGTTTCTGTAAGTGTGTTGTTGTGCCTGCCAGCACAGCCAGGGTTTGGTCTGGGATAAAGCTGGATTTGCCTGGGGAGGTGGTGGAGATCCCACAGGGATGCTCCCAGCTGCTCCATGCTCTGCAGCCACTGCCTGCCATGGGGAGCTGATGCGTTGTTGCCATCCCTCCTTCTCCATCCTCTTGATTTTTTTTTACCTGGGAATATTAAGCTGAGCTTGATCCCACTCTGGAGGTCACAGAGAGGTTCCTTGCAAGGAAACACGGTCTGGTGCGGGCTGAGCAAAGAGGCAACACCAACGTGCTTATCCCGGGGAGAACCAGGATCTGCTCCGGCTCCTGTCCCACTGGATACCTGTTTGGAAGCAGCTGGACCTTGCAGGGCTCTTGCACCACCTAAACAGCAGGAAAGCACTTCTAAACCAGAAGTGGGACACACTTACCAGCCGTAGGGTATCCATGTGCCAGCGTGGATTGCCCTCCGGAGCGGTGCTTTCCGCTCTTTGTTCGCCCGGCCCACAGCACTCAGAAAGGCAGGCGTGTCCAGCCACCTCCTGGGAGCTTATCTTGCCCCAGAAGAATATATTACATTTCCTTTTTGAATTAAAGCTTAATATTTTTGCAATAAAAGAGAGGAGGCTTGAGTGCGAGGCGATAAAGTCACACGTGGTTTGCCTCTGCTGAAGTTAAATCCCGCAGGGAGCATTTATTTTAGCGGGAGCAGCCCTGGATTCACCTTGGACCATCCAGAAAGCAATCAGGAGGGTCAAAAGCAGGTCAGGACCTACACTAAACTGATACTTTGAAAATAATTGGCTATATCCTCCATTTCAAGAAACTGAAGCCGTGACCACAAGCAGCAGCATTAATAAAATTGGGCATTTATTAATCCTCCTTCTGAGGGTTGCAAATTAAAAGAGGGAGAAGGGTGTGCACACCTGGCAGCTGCCATCCCAGGATTTGCAGCGTTTTTAAGGAGGAGTGCTGATGGAAACAGGTTACAGGGAAGTGGAGCCTAAAGTTAGGCCAGTGCTAAGAGCTCTTAAATAATGCCTTGTCTGGTACCCAGAGTAGCTGGGGTGGTTTCAAAGAGCTGGTGACTTGCAGCATCCTTTGCAGAGGGATTATCCCTGCTGCATCTCGGGAAGTTGTGTGGATTGACTCAAAATTTGGCTTAGTAGAACATGTTCTGTTGGATGCAGGGACAGAAGTGGAACTGATTTTTACCCGTTGTGCTGGATGGTTTGTAATTGTCCCTGTCCATCCTGTGGAGTTTGTTATTTCTCTTCCAGCCAACACTGGTTTCTAATTAGGAGACATAAAATTAAGATGGAAGAGCAGCAGTCTGCAAGGGTATTGCTGCTCGGGAAGGAATCTGGGCTGGGTTTAAGACAAAAATATCCCCTTGTTTGCAGGATTTTGGTGGGGAGAGGGTGGTGTAAGCACTGCTCTGGGGCTCTGAGCGGTGCAGGTGTGATACTCAGCCCTGGTGATGCATTTCAACCAACTGACCTATTTTTTTCCCTATAATTCCACTGTATTTTATTTTTTTTTTAATGCTAAATGTATTCTTCTCCTGGGAGGGTGATGTGACATCTACAGAGCCCTCTTATGGTGCTGCTTTTAGGGTTACAATTGCAAAGCCAAGAGCTAAAATAGCTTGGCCAAGACCTTCTTAAATCCGGCTATTCCCCCATCAGGATGCATCACATCACAACTTTGGGAAGCATAACACTGTTCTGAAAGCAATCTCAGGATCTCCTTTTCTGCCAGGAGATTTGTGGAAGATGTTTCTGTAGTTATTTAATGGGAAAGGAACAAATTCTTCCCCACAAGCCATCCCCGTGCTTCCCTCAGACTCAGTGTTCTGTGCTGCTACAAGAAAACCCTTTCAGAAATAGGAATTATTTGGATATTGCAGAAATCCGCAGGGTTTTGGCCTCATCCATCAGCTGCCTTTGGCACCAGCTGCTTTTTAGAGGTGCTTAATAAAAGCAAACGTGCTCCGGTGTTTCTCTCTCCTCTCCTTTTATAACCCCACTAGTCCCTCATTTCCATCCCGCTCCTGGTCAGCAGGGATGGCTTTGATGGTGAGTTTTCCCCCCCCAGGCTTGAGCTGGGAATTAAGCCTGGCTTAACTTTTACAGCACAGTGCACCTGGCTGGGGGTTTTCCACCAAGACTCGTTTATATTAAATAACAACATGCGGAGGAACCTGAGTGGTTTTGGTGAACTCCTGTAAATGCAAAAAAGGGGGATTAAGGAGCTTTAGGGCTTTAATGCTTTAGGAGGAAAAGCCACGAGAACAATGGATTTCCCCCAGGTTTTGTACAGTTTAGAAATTTGATTTGGAAAGAAGAACTGAAAAAAAGTTTTTGCTTCTGTTTCGTATGGGCTGAAAGGTCATTTGAACCCCTCTGCCCTCAGATTTCCCTGGAGCAGGGAAACTTCCCGTAGTTTCCATGCTAAATCCATACATTACATTATACTAGCAGCATTTATGGTTTAACCAGCAGTGTAGTGACTGCAAATGATGGAATTTGAATTTTGTTAAGCAAACAGAGCAATCTTTTCATACATTTTTCATTACTGGAAACAGAGACAGTCCCTGGAGTGTTCCAAGGGCAGGTTGGACGAGGCTTGGAGAAACCTGCTCTAGTGGAAGGTGTCCCTGCCCTTGGTCTTTAACATGGTCCTTAAGGTCCCTTCCAATCCAAACCATTTTATGATCTTTTCCTCTAAATACAGTGTCTTACCCCTAATACCCAACAGACCCAAGAAAAAGATACTGAAATTTTAAGGAGAGAACAAAAAACGAATGCGACAGTATGGAAAGAGGAGCAGTGGGAAAATGGAGACCTTTCAGTAAAAACTGTACTTAAAAGTGTATTCAAGTTGGTTGACACCAAAAAGTGTCAGGAAATCTATGATTTGGGGTTTACTTAATACTTTAGCCTACTTAAGACATATTTCTGTGCTTGAATGAAAGGCAAGTGAAGACCTACCCATTGTAAAGCCTTTCTCAAGAAATGACTCCAAATCACAGGAGTTGCTCCATCTCTCTTGTCCTGTCAGTGTAGAAGTTATTTGTTAAAAATAAATTGTACTTGGTAGCATCAAACTTCCAGCCAAGAAGTACAAACCCATATGCAACTGGGAAGAAAAAGCAAATCAAAAGATTATTTTTTGAAGGGGATTCAGCCTCACCTCATTGTCAGGGGTGTATTTTCACCATTGTTTTGAATGCTTGGTCTTGTGGAGAGTGAAAAGGCACGTGGTTGGAAGAGCACCTGAAGGGGGGCTGAGCTGGGATGTTCCCACTGCTGATGGGAGCTCAGCCAAGTGCCACATCTTCAGCCTGGAGAAAGGAAGGCTCCAGGGAGACCTTGGAGCCCCTTCCAGTGCCTAAAGGGGCTCCAGGAGAGCTGGAGAGGGACTTTGGACAAGGGCTTGGAGGGACAGGACAAGGGGGAATGGCTTCCCACTGCCAGAGGACAGGGTGAGATGGAATATTGGGAAGAAATTCTTGGCTATGAGGGTGGTGAGGCCCTGGCAGAGGTTGCCCAGAGAAGCTGTGGCTGCCCCATCCCTGGAAATGTTCAAGGCCAGATTGGACGGGGCTTGGAGCAACCTGGGCTAGTGGAAGGTGTCCCTGCCCATGGCAGGGGTTGGAATGAGATGGCCTTTAAGATCCATTCCAACCCAAACCATTCCATGATTCTGTGATTTTAGTAGGACTCAACAGGGCTTAGACATTCCTGTGGATGAGAAGTACCCCCACAATGACTTCGGCAGATCTGTAAATGCTCGTGTTCCAGGGCACAAGCCAAGTCCTAATCCAAAGGGAGAGACAGAGATTCCTCCCCTGGATCCCCCAGCCTGGGGGTTTTTATGCTGCAGAGCTGCTCAGTTGATTTTTTTCCCTAGAGCTGCAACCCATGCAGCACCTTCCATTAAGCAGCTCCCACATGGCTCGTGCAACCCCATCTCCTTTCAGGTGTTCCCATCCCTTTTGCTTCCCGGGAGGCAAAGCTCAGGGTAGGGATTGGGTAGGGCTGCGAAGCCATCGGCGAGGCACCATGGCCACCCACCCACCACCACACATTTTATAATTTCATTTGATTATTTTTTTTCTTTTTTTTTTTTTTTTTTTGTCGGGGGACTCTGCTGCATCCCGGGCCGCGAGGGGGGAATAACCTCTTTGATTTTATTTTTTTTTCAGTTCTCTCAGGCCAGACACACCACAGCCCTTTGAAACGCTCTGTGTCCCTTACCCCACCCATGAATGTGCCAAACCAGCCTCTAGGACATGGATGGATGTCTCATGAGGACTTACGGGCTAGAGGACCCCAGTGCATCCCTTCCGATCATGCCCCCCTGTCTCCACAAAGCAGTGTAGCCTCTTCGGGAAGTGGTGGGAGTGAACATTTAGAAGATCAGCCTTCCGCTCGTAACACATTCCAGGAGGAAGGGAGTGGGATGAAAGGTGAGTGCAAAACCAGACCCCGACCCCCCCGGCACCCAGAGGCAGGAGGGAAGAGCCGCTTTCCCGGCAGCGCTGGGCTCCCATGGCGGTTTTGGGAGAGAATCCTCGTAACCAGATGGGGCCTTCCGGCCTTTCTTCCCGGCTTAGGAATTTTAGATTCAGGGGAACAAGTTAGGTTTTCTTTCAAGCAGCAGCTGGTCCCGATCTGACATCTTGCACTTGGGTGCCAGTGGGCTGGTTTTGCCCCAAAACCCTGCGAGCTGCCAGCTTTCCAAAAAGCTGGAATTTTTCCATAGCCTGTGGCTTTTGGCTGCGAGTGGTGCTCTTTTTTTTCTCTCTCTTTTTTCTGTTTTATTACGGTGAAAAAAAGCTTAGAGTAAGCTTAGCGAGCCACGTGTGATTTGCCATTGCAGTGTTTGGTACCCACCAAGTATTTGGGGAAGTTTTGGCTTGGGATACTGATTTGCAGTGAATTTAACCTGTGTGTTTCAGTTCTAAACCAGTTTCAGTTGGTTGTCCCATTGTACCTGCATTTCACAGAGATTTTGGCAGTAAATATATGCGATTCTGTTGGTAAACAAGGCAGAAATGAATCCCTATTGCTACAGTCGTAGATGGAGAGCAAACTTCAGGCTGAGAGGGAATAAATACATAAAAACTGGGCAAACATACAGACTGTGAGTTCCTGGGAACAGAGAAAACGACCCTGCAGCTCTCAGACTGATTTAAACAACTCCAATTTGCATTAATGCAAAGCAGCTCAATTGTGTAAAGGCCAATGGTGTGTCAGAATAAGGAAATAATCATATTTTTAATAGTCACAAGGTCTGATTTTAGTCTAATTGCAGACAAATTGAGATGTGTGTAACTCTGTGTGATGTGGGGCTGCATTTGGCTTGGCTCTGGATGGCTTGGATGTGCATGAAGTAAATGCATGAAAACCCCCTCATGGTTCCAAGGAATGCGATGGAGGCAGGTCGGGTCCTGTCAGACCTGGGAAACCCTTTTTGGGAGCACGTGGTGCAGAGGGGGCTGTTTAACACTTCATTTCTCCAGGTTTCTGCTGATGGAGCTGGAGAGGAGACCATGGGGAGCTGGGCTCCCTGTGATCCACAGCTGCAGCTCCAGGACCTGCATGAATAGAAACTTCCCGGTGCCATGGAATCAATCCATGTGGCCAAGTCTGCAAAAGCCAAAGGCTGTCCAGAAGCAATAATCCACTAAATCAGCTCCACATATTAAGACATCCCATTGCAGGCAGCTGGGATATGGCTGCCCTTCCTCGGGCCATCCCTTCCCAGACATCCAAACCCAATTCCCCCATTGCTGAGTCAGCCAAATGGCTTTTGTCCCACTGTCCAAGGACACACACCACAGATGTCCACAGCCTCTGGTGTCTGTGCCTGCCATGTCCTCCTCCCTCTGCTGTGTTTTGTTCAGGCTGAACTATTCCAGTTTCTTCACAGATGATGTTTTCTAAACGTGGGGTTGTCCTTTCTTCTCTCTACCGGGCTTTTTTCCAGCAAGTCCATATTTTATTAAAGATATGTTGGCCAGAACTGGACTCCAGAGCAGAGCAGAGGCTTGTTTGCCTACAGACAGAATTCCTATGGCTGGGTAGCTCATCGTCCTCAAATAACAAAGCACCATGGGCTGCGTATGATCCACTGTATCCCCACAGCTTTTCCCAAGAAAAAAAAAAGGGACTGCCCATTCCCTGCACTCGAATTGTGCTGTTTCTTGTTCCTCCAGACATGCACAACTTTGTGCATTTTCGTGGGGTTGCATCGTATTCCACCCAGAGCAGCTGCTCCCTTTGACAGGTCCCTTCTCTGAACTGGAGCCCTGCAGGCTCTCGTGGCTTGGTGTCACCCCACTGCTGGTCAGCTTGTTCCTTCTTCAGCGCCTTCCAGGGCATCCAGGAGGATGCAGACCCATGGGATCTGGAATGTGGGGAGTCGAGACCCATGACAGACCCTCATCTGACATGGCTTAGCAGTTCTTCTCCCTTAATGTCACTGTTTCTCTCCTTTCTGTTTATATTTATGCTCTCATGTCACCTATTTCTTTCCACCCATCTTTGTGCTCAAGAAAAAGGGTCCTTTGGCTTTTTCCTGGCCCCTGGTTTCTCCAGGGGTAGATGCAGACACTTGGTTCCCTGTGGACCCCATCCATTCGTCTGTCCATCCCTTCCTGTGTCCCTGCCCATGGCAGGGGGTTGGAATGAGATGATCTTTAAGGTACTTTCCAACCCAAACCATTCCAGTGATTCCTGGGGGGCACAGCTGGGAGGAGGGTTTGTGTAGAGCTGAGAGTTTTTTCTGGGAGTGTATGCATGGTGTGCCAGGAGGGCACTGCTGAAGATGTGCTGTGTGTGAATTGTTTTCCTTCCAGATTTCCTGATGGCCATGCCATGACTTTGCAGTCAGCTCCTGGTAATTGCTGATTAAAGAGCAGCTCTGTGGGCAGGTGGCTCACCCATGCCTGGAGAGAGTTGGGAAGTTTGACTTTCCAAGGACTGTGAGGTCACCTTAGATGCCCTGGCACACCCTGGTTGCCTCTTTCTTCCCTGTGGGATGGGAGAAATCCCCACCACCATCCCTCTGTGTGCTGGGGTGGTTTCTCCTCCCCAGTCCACTCCCAGGATTGCTGTCTCTGTTGGCAGGGGGGCTCTGGGACTGTCATAGCTCCCCAAAATTAGGAGATGATCCAGGGAGGCCGACGCAAAGGGAAGGAGCTGCTTCTGTGCTCTGACCCCCTGCAAAGGTTGGAGATGGGTTTCCTGCAGGGTTAATGTCTGTATGAAGTTGCATCTCTCTTGTGGAAGTAGCCCCGTGGGCTTTGCCATCGGCACGGACGTGTGGAAAGGCAGCTGTCCCCAGGGGACACGGAGTCAGGGAGACTTGTAATGTGTTGTCACTAAAATGGTGTGGTTTTGTGTTAAAATGAAGTTGGGATTGGAGCCCATGCTGGAATCGGGGCTTTCTGCTGATAATTTTTCGATTTTTTAAACAGAGATCAGTTAAAGAGGCTGCGGGTAGCAGAATTTGGGACCGTTGCATGTCAGAACTTTTGGAAAACAGTGAATTTCAGCCCATCCATGCTCACTAACTGCCTTACCCTTGTGTTTGGTGTGGGGTTGATCTCCTTCTGTGCAGCACTTGAGGAATTTCATTGACACGTGAATCCTGTGTGTGCCAGGGGATGGAGAGTGTGAGCAAAATGCAGCATTTTGGGGTCTTTTGCGTCCTCTGCTTGGATGGGAGTGGGGTTTGGGCTCAGCCTAGACAGCAGGAGTCTTCTGGCAGATGCACAAATTGCCTCAGGGGACCAAACCAAGGGTCCATCCTGCCCTGTCCTTGCCAGTGACGAGGTGTTGGTTCAGGAAGAGATCATGGATGAACCCCATGGAGGCAACCTTGGGACTCGGGAACAATCAAAGAGCGGGGAGGTGTTGCTAACTGGTATTTAGGCCCAAGAGAGACATTTCCTGAGCCTCCACCTGCTCTCTCCATTCAAGGTGTGGGGTTTGGGGCTGAAACACTGGTTTGTCATGGTTACTGCACCCGGAGATGGTGCTTCCAGGTGGGGAAGGGGACAAGGACTATGGACAAGGGTACTGCTGGGAGCAGAGCATGAGCTGGGGAGGTTCAGACCCCAGACCTCCCCAGACTCCCTGAGGAGCTGCTTGCTGTCACATTGCCTTCTCCATGGAGGACACCCCATCGTGGGGTCTGGTGGGGTTTTGCGTGTCACAGAGGAAGGATTCCCCTCCCAGGTCCCTCCCTGTGAACCACATTGATGTCAGGAGGATAAAAGTATTTTTGGGTACCCATCCAGCCGGGCACAGGGGTGCCACACTGCAGGTGACAATTGGGAAGGAAGAAGTCATTTCAGTCGGTGTGTTTTGAGGTCCCAAGGCACCCTTTGAAACAGGCTGTGGGACCATCTTTGATGGCACATCATTTTTCCATCCAAAATCCATCCCTTTGTTTCTCTTTAAGCAGCAGTTCCATTTTCAGCCCACACCATCTTCCCTCACGCCATAAATCAGTGTCTGCCATCTGCAAAACATCCCTTTGCTCCTCCTAAGCTCGACCACACCAGTAACTTCAACCTTTCCCATGTTCCCGGGGAAAGGGCAGCGAGGAGCTTGGCATGCAATGACACAATACTGGCTCCCCACGGGCTAAATCCCAGTGTCTTGCCCACAGAAACCCAACCTCTGAGGATGTCAGAGGGCTGGTTCCTCCTGCCATCCATACCCACAGTGCTTTGTCCGCATCCGGGCGCTGGTTCCTCCTGCCATCCATATCCATACCCATATCACCACGTCCCTCCCAAAGGTCCATGGAGTTCAGTGAGGTGTCCAAAGCCCCTTTGGGGTGGTGGATGGCACCACAACAGCCCCTCCTGCTGTTGATGCTGTTGATCGTGGTTGTGCCACGAACTCAGCGGAGCTCTCCTGTCCTTTCCTTTGCGCTCCAGATGTCCCGGCCTGGCTGAAGAGCCTCCGGCTGCACAAATACGCCGCCCTCTTCTCCCAGATGACGTACGAGGAGATGATGGCCCTCACCGAATGCCAGCTCGAGGCACAGGTACGTCCCACGTCTCCTGGGGGACAAGATTCTCCCGGGTTTCCTTTGCGTGCCTTCCCGTGGAAGGCGTTCAGCCCGCGGGTGGTTGGGAAGCAAACAGGAAAAAAAAGGAAAATTCGGGTTTGGGAATGAAAAAGAACCCCCACGTTGCACCTGAAAAAGACCTTGCACGTTCTTACTGGAACAGCATGGAAGTCCCTTCACTGGGAGCTGCGCTTGGATTTTTTTTCCACTTGGGATTGAGTTCAGGAGTTTTAGGGGTGCAATCTGCAGTAGCCAACTGCTTTAAAGTCAGTGGGGCAAATTTCCTTTGAAAATGTCGTAGAATCGTAGAATAACAGAATGGTTTGGGTTGGAAGTGACCTTAGAGATCATCTAGTTCCAACCCTCCCTCCTTTCAGGTTCACCTCTGCGTTATCCTTGGGATGAAGGGGACCAGGCAGCACCTTTGCTCTCCCTGTGGGAGGTGTACCGGGGAGGGACAGACTAGCTGGAAATCTCCATCTTCAGCAAGTCTCCTGAGTGATTTTCTATGTCCCCCACGAATCCCTGCACTCAGAAATTTGATTAATTTCCAGCAGCCCTTTTCATTTAGGGGAGGAAGGGTTTGGGTGGACCCAGCTGTCCTGTGGAATGTTAATGCCGAGTGTTGTGCTGTTTGTTACAGAACGTTACCAAAGGCGCAAGACACAAAATAGTCATCAGTATCCAAAAGCTAAAAGAAAGACAAAACCTGCTCAAATCTCTAGAAAGGGTAAGTAATCACCACTGTTTTTGTATTTCTTGTGTTTTTAAGAAACTAGAAGTTAATTCTGGGGTGAAGCACTCTTCGGTTTCACGTGTTGTGGGGATCTTCTGCAGGGAAGTCTGATGTTGGGTTGGCCACATGTGAATAATGTCTCAAACACTCCTGTACCAGGTGCAGGTTTTATTTCGCAGAATCACTGAATGGTTTCGGTTGGAAGGGACCTTAAAGACCATCTCATTCCAACCCCCTGCCATGGGCAGGGACAGCTTCCACTAGACCAGCTGTTCCTCCAAGCTGTGTTTTGCAGAGTGGGTCCTAATCCATCTCCGGCACTCATGGAGCTGGAATGGATTTGCCCTGTAGCCCTGGCCAGCTCCAGGATGTTCAGAAAGGCCTGAGCTTTCCTGGAATGTCATATGGGCAACCTGTCCCCAGATAAAACACCAGACACCCACATTGGTGTCCGAACAACATCTTGAATTTCCAAGGAGAACAACTAGAAACTTCCACACAACTAGAATCACCTCCACAGAAGCTTAAACCCTGCAGAGAGGGCTGTAGGGAAGCAGCAGCACCACAGCCTTGCTGAGAGCAGCTCACCCAACCTCTCCCTATTTATTATCGCTGTATTATATTATATTTAATTGCACCATCTTCAAGCAGCAACTCGCAGAGCCTCCCACTAGGGGCTTTTAAATACTTCTGTGGTGTGTTGCTATTTATTGGTGTTTTCCTTAGCTCACTGCTTCACTATTTATTTATAATACAGGCTTGTACTCAGAGTATGGCAGGAGCTAATAAAGCCATATTTACCTCCATTATTAATAATGACTATTAAATCCAAGAGCCAGCCCTCTGGCTGCAGCACTCTGTTTTCCAGGCGATTGCACAGCCTCTTCCCCCACTTCTCCGCCGGGGTTTTGAAATATGGGATTGATTGAGCAGGAGCTGGAGCCCAGCTCAGCTGACCCAGCAGCCACGCACGCCGTGAAATCCGGGAGAAAAGTGGCAGGGACTAGGTTTGGGCCCTCCTGGTGTGGGTTTGGGCTGTGGAGCTCTGACATTGTCCCGCTTTGCTGGGGCTCAGAGCTGCCTGGGAACTGCTTTCCCTGGGAGGAGACGTCCCCGGTTTTCCAGGCTTCCCATCCAATTTTTTGCTAAACAAGAGCATGTGTGGGACTTGATGTTTTTGGGCAGTGTCTCGCTGCTAAAGATTGCTGCTTTCTTGGAAAGAGCTGCTCCACCCCTCTCTGCCGGTTAGCAGAGCAGGATTTTTTCCCAAAAAACAGTGCCCAGCAGACTGACATCATATCTTTGACAGAAGTGGAGCTGAGACATCCAAGAGCAAGCTGGAATTAGGATGAACAACCATTTTGGAGCTTACACGCCAAAATCCCATGTGCCCACTTAGTGTCCCTTCCCTCAGGACATCCAGGGCTCTCTCCAAGAGGTGCCTCTTTCCAAACAGTGTCCCATGAGTGCTGGAAACTGGAGACACGCCCATGTTAATAAATGAAGTTCCAATGAAATAGAGCTGAAATTAACTGAAGGAAGGGAAGGGAAAAGAGGAAGATAATCGCTGGCTGGGCATTAAAATCTCCCAGGCTCAGTTGCTCTCCTGGAGTTGCCATCTTCCTGGTGGAAATTTGGAAACACTGAAGGACTGTTACTGGGTTTGGGTCCCAGTGATTGACAGGGCACGTTTATCTCTGGGAATTCAGGTCTGAACACATCCATGGATAATCAGATACAGCCTCTGCAGCAGCTCCACACTCTCCTGGTCTAAGGGAAAAACTTGGGCAATTAAACGTGGCTGTTGACTGTGGAATGCAGCAGGATCCTGGAGGGATTCTCAGGGGCGTCACAGTCAGGGTCTGGTTTGTAGCTGCTGTCCCGTTGTCCCTGCAGAGACAAACCCTCTTCTCTTGAACCCACAGGACATCCTGGAAGGTGGCAACTTGCGTGTCCCGCTGCAGGAACTACACCAAATGATCCTCACCCCCATCAAAGCCTACTCTTCCCAGAACTCGAGCACGGAGGAGCACAGCCGGGACGCGGACTCGCACCACCCCTCCTCCCTGATCGGCTCCGACGGCCAGGGCTCTGACTGCAAGGACTCTGCCGCGGGTGGGATGCAGCAGCACCACTTGCCAGGATGTGAGGGCGAGTCGGGGGGGGCCCCTCTTCCCGAGGGTGACCTGCCTGGACAGTTCACCCGAGTGATGGGGAAAGGTGAGCGGCTGCCACTTGTCAGGGGCCACTTGTCGCTGGGGAGGGCTGCTTCGGGGTGGGGGGTGTGTGGTGGCAGCACTGGCAACTGCCTTTCCCTGAGCTCCTGCAAGTCCCTGTCCCAAGGGGTGAGGATTTTTTGAGGTCCCTTCATGCTGTGGTAAGAGCTAAGAGTGTGGGGTGGGGAGGTGGGCTGTGATTTTGGGGAGGGGCAGTGGTGGGACAGGCTGCCTGCCCCAGAAAGGTCCGAAATGGAGAGCATCCTCTCCCTGCCCCAGTAGCATCCTCTCCCTACCCCAAATTCAAAGTGGATAGTATCCTTTCCCTCAGGTCAGGGGTGGAGGGCATTCTCTCCCTTCCCATTCAGAGCCCTGGGGTCATCCCAGCAGTCCAGAGGTGTTTTCAGCAGCATCCCTTGGACTTGCTCTGTTTGTGGGGAGGTAGCAGTGGTGCGTGGGCTGGACATGAACCATCTGGAGTGCCAGTCAGTGGGTCCAAGCCCCTTTTTAAGCTCCAGTCTAGATGCAGGACTTCCAGAATACTCCAGTGCCATCCCATGCCCAGTGCAGGGTGCACATCTTTGCATCAGGAATAACACACTGAGAAGCAATGTGAGATGGAGACTGATCTCCTGTGCTTTATACAGGGCTCTTGGAGCAAATCTATGTGAGCTTGGACATGCCCTAACCCCTGTTAGTGGCACTTGAGGTGTCAGTGCTGGCTGAGTGAAGGAAGATCTCCCTGGGGAAGTGGGAAAGGGGGGATCTCATCCGCAGAAGACCGGGATCAGAATGAAACTCTTTGGGATGCCACGAAGAAATATGAGCCTTGTCCCTATTTCCAACCTTTTTTGACAAAAAAATAGCTGAGGTGTTTTCTATGCAGAAACCTGGTGCAGAGTTTGTCCCCAGCTGATTCCCTGCAGGCACAGCCAAACACGGGGCTCTTGGCCCCGTTTTATTCCCATGACAAATGCCAAAGTGTGGCACAAGCCCTGCCAGGACGAGGTGTCTTCCTGGACTGCAAGGCATCCCTGCCCAGGGGTTATGACAGGAGAAACTCATTCCTCTGTGAGCTCATTCCCACTTGCTTTTATGGCACTAGTTCCAAAAGAGGTTAAAATCCTCCGGGAAAGGTGGGAATCCGTGTGCAGCAGGGGCAGACTTTAGCCATAGGAGCCGGAGCTCTCTTGCCTAGGAAAAGGGAATAATCCCTGAGTTGCTCAGGTCTAATTTTGGGGACTCCAGTGGTGTTACTCTGGATTTACACCTTCATAACAGAGAACAAAATCCGGCCCTAAATATAGGACGGCACGGCAGGAATCGGGGAAGGGCATTTTTTCTCGCTGATGAGAAAACCTGCCCGTGGTTACAAGGGAAACGGGATGTCCAAGGCATTTGTTGGACTACCCTGGGTCTCATCTGGGTGTCCCCATCTCCATTTCCCTTCTCTTGTCTCTCTCTTTTCCAGTCTGCACACAACTTTTAGTTTCCCGACCCGACGAAGAGAATATAAGTTCCTATTTACAGCTCATAGACAAATGTCTAATCCACGAGGTGAGTCGTGAGGGATCATCTCAGACTGTTGTTCCCATCACTTAGAAACTGTTTCCAAAGTGTCTGTTTATGTAAACCCTTCGGTTTCTAACACAAATATTTTTGGGGGGTATTAATAGTAATTCTGACAGAACAGGGCTGGAGCGGGCGGTAGCTCCGACGTGATGCATGGAAATGTTGCTTCCCCCCCACGCTCACTTAATTCCCAAGGCCTGGAGCTGGGAAATTCATCTGGCACGTGACAGTCCCGTCGGCAGCTGGATGAAAGGAAGAATCCCGGGATGAGCGTGCGGGCGGTTTCCATCAGACAGACCCGGCGATCCCTTGGCGTTGCCTCCTCCTGTTTTGCAACACGTGGGATTTTGCAACAGGGATTTCACATCTGTTCCTGCTCCCGGCAGATGTGCCTCGGCCGGGGGGATGGCTCGGGATGGCCCAGGCTGTGCCACAGGGCTCTGGCACGCTCCTGCCCTGTGGCAGGGAGGGAGGGATGGTGTCCCTGGTGTCCTACAGCGTTTCCCACCCATGCTGGCTGTACCTGGAAGAACAAGCTGCTTCCCTCACCTGCCCATATGGCAGGGATCGTGAGGAGATCACACGCTGGGGGAGCAGAGGTGGTGGGGGCTGGAGAACAAAGCCAGGAGGACATGGAGCTTTTCCCAGAGCGCCTGCACTTCTCCCACCAGTGCCAGCCCGTGTCCCAGGACCACCTTCTGCTTTGGCTCTGGCATAATCAGCACCGGGAGAGAGCATCTCCTCCAGAGGGTGGTTCAGAGCAATCAAGTCAGGCACTAATTAGCCTCCAGATTGTCCTCCAGAGACCTCTGCTCCTCTCCGCCGGCAGCATGGAGACCTTGGGGGTCTAAAGTTAGCAGTGGTGCCACATGGGTGTCCCTGTCACCCACACCTCCTGCCTGGAGCTCTGGGATCAGGTCTATCCCCTGCTGGGGTGACCTTTGCAGGGAGCCCGGGTGGGTGACAGGGCTCACCCCGGGTCACCTCCAGCAGAGACTGGTGGCAGGATCAGAGCCAAGCTCTGCCCAGCCCTGAGAAGGAGGATGGGATGCAGGATGCCACAGGGCAGATCAGCTTTCCAAATCCCAGCTTTTCCCACCCTGGCAGCATTTCTAGAACCATGTCCAGGTGACAAATTTCACCACCCGTCGGGACCCACCATCAAGCCCCTGCTCTGCCAAAAGGGGTTGGCAACCTCAGGGCAGAGCCAGGCTGTCACTCTGGGACACAGGGAATGGTGCTGGAGCATTTTCTTGACCTGAGATGAGTAAATCCTTGAGGGAGACCAGGGTTTCCCTCTGGACTTGCTGATGGCCAGCTCCAGCTGCTCTTCTTTACCTGCACACACATCCCTCCTCCCTTTGTCCAGAAAAATATTCATTCAGTTCCTATTTTTCTCTCTCTTTTTTGGGGGACAGGCGTTTACAGAGATCCAGAAGAAGCGGCTGCTGTCATGGAAACAGCAGGTGCAGAAACTCTTTCGGTCTTTCCCTCGGAAATCCCTCCTGGAGCTGTCAGGCTATCGGCAGCAGAGGAGGTAAGCGGGATTTTGGGAGGGGAAGGATGGATGCAGTGGCCAGAGGAAGAGCATTCCAAGTGGGACCAGTGTCTCCCAAAACAAAAGGATGGATCCTGATGGATTCAGAGCTGTATTTTGGGAGGCAGGAGAGCAGGAAAAGCTTCAGCAATAAGACCCCAGGCGCTGGGTGGGAAGGGAATGGGGTTTTACTTGCATGTGGGGTCAGTGCCTTCCCTACTGATCCCACCAGGTTTCCCTGGCTCCAAATCCGGCACTTCCCAGCTGTGCAGCGTATCCCCAACGCTGGGCTCTGTGTCTGCTGCCCTTTGCTGATGGCATCAGCACTGAAGTTCCCCAAAAAGCTGTAAAGTGGCAAAAAAAAGGGCTGTGTTGGGGACACTTGTGTTTGCTCACTTCCAAGGAGGTGCTGGATTTCAGGTGATCCTGGGAAGCATTGGGGTATGGCAGGAAGAGGTGTTTTTAGATCAGTTTTAGCAACAACATCAGCCCTTTGCTTCATTCTGCAAAATCTGGTGTATTGCACTCTGGTGCAAGTGATTTATTCTCCAGAAAGAAAGTGTTTTGGAGATAACTGGGATCAGTGGGACAGCTGGGATGAAGAGTTCAGAAGGAAGGATCACAGAACTGGAGTGGTCCCCAGTTCCATGAAACAAAGTGTCTTGGAATGGATTAAAACAAGTGGTTTCAGTGTTGGTGGCAGGATCAGAAGTGGAATAGGCAAGAGCAAAGGTGTTGGATGGACCTGTTTGCTGCCCAGCTGAATGAGCAGGGACACCAAGGTGACACCAAATATTGAGGGCACCCTCACTGCTTTTGTTTCCAAGGATTACCTGGTTATTTTTGTGTCATTCTGTGGGTTTTAAATGCAAAAACCATGGGGAGAGGGATGCTGGTGTGTGCAACCAGTCCCTCCTGGAATTAAAGATGGCTTGGTATTCTGAGATGTGTGTTTCAGGATGTTTGGGTTTTGTGGTCTTAGGTCAGGATGGTTTTGCTCTGGCCACGGGGAGCTGGATAAGGGATTACAGTGTGGAAATGGGAGTGGGTACAGAGCCAGTCCCACCTCTGCAGGAAAGCACCTTTCACTCAACCCTCCCTGGTAAATCTTGGACTTGTTAGGTCAATCTAACCAAATTTTAGAGAACTTGAGAAGTCTCAGAGAGGACCGTCTTTTTAAAAATGAACCTCCTGGGAGGGGAGAAGGTCCAAGCATTCCCAGTAAAGAAAACCCAACAGCATAAGCTGAGCTTTTATTACTCTAGAGAATCCACACACAAGAGATCTCAAAGAAACCAGGTGCCTGGAGCATTACTTATTTTGCCTTATGTTTAAGAACAGGCCCATTTTGCGGGAGTAAAATAAACTTTAAAGAGAACAAATGTGAACCTGAGACCTGCTGAAGGGCAGGAGGGTGCCTGGCACTGGGGAAGAAGAAAGGATGCTGCACACCCAGACTTCCTCCTTCCTGCTGCCCCTGCAGGATGGAAGGACCGTCCTCAGTGGGGTGGGAGGGTCGGGACCCCTCTCCTGCAGCGCTGTCCCCTTGTCCCCTCACAGAGGGGACTCACAGGGGTCAGTGCCTCACCCCCAGCGCTTTCTCTCTCCGCAGCCGAGGCTTTGGCCAGTCGAACTCCCTCCCGACAGCCGGATCCGCGGGGGCAGGGCTGGGCCGGAGGAACCCCCGCCAGTTCCAGATCCCCTCCCGCAACCTCCCCACGGCCCGGCTGGGGCTGCTGGGCCCCACTGGGCTGCTGGGCACCCCCCAGCGCAGCCCTGCCGCCAGCCCCGCCATCCTCAAGCAAGGCAGACAGGTTGGTCCGCGTTCGTGGCAGCTCCAGCCCTTCCGTCCCTTTTCCCACAAGCTTCCTTTGATTTCCCTCCTCTAACTTGTCTGGATATCTTTTTTTTTTTTTCCCCCGTACCTTTTCAAGCAGCTAAGAGCAGTTTGTAGGTGTTTGGGTTGCGCTCCCCTCGGCGCAGAGGGATGTGGAAGAGGGACCGGCAAGAGGCGGGCAGAGGAAGAGGTGGATGGGGGAGAGCTGAGTCCTTACAGGGGCTTACAGAAATAGGGAGAGAGACTTTTGACAAGGGCAGATCGTGAAGGACAAGGGGGGGAGGGTTTTAAATTGACACAGGGGAGATTTAGATGAGATATTGGGAAGGAATTCTAGACTGTGAGGGTGGCGAGGCCCTGGCACAGGTTGCCCAGAGAAGTTTTGGCTGCCCCATCCCTGGAAATGTTCAAGGCCAGGTTGGATGGGCTTGGAGCAGCTCGGTCTAGTGGAAGGTGTCCCTGCTCATGGCAGGGAAGTTGTAACTAGATGATCCTTAACAATCCCTTCCAATCCGTTCTATCCTTCTGTGAGCCCAAGGGGGTTGGTTATAAATCCGTGCCAGAAAGGGCTTTGTTTCACATCCCACACTTTGTTTGCTCCCCACAGAACCTCTGGTTTGCCAACCCTGGGGGCAGTAACAGCATGCCCAGCCGGAGCCACAGCTCGGTGCAGAGGACGCGCTCGCTGCCGGTCCACACCTCCCCGCAGACCATGCTGATGTTTCAGCAGCCAGGTAGGCACCAGGTTTGCTTTTTCACTTACCCACAGCCCACTGAGACAAGGGGAGGTGTGAAAGGAGCTGTGCTGGTGAGCCTCAGTGCAGGCACACGGCCTGTGCCACCGCGGTGTGTTCCCACCGGGATATCTTTGAATTCCTGAGTTAATTGAACCACAGACGTTGCTGGAGGTATTTTTGACCCTGTATATACCATCTTGACTCTCTGTATAATCGTGGTGCTGGTGCTTTACCTACCTTGCTTCTGAAAGGCTCGTGTCAGGCAGAATGGCAGTAGCTCATCCATCACTTTTTCCTCATGGATGGACACGGAGCCCCAGTGTGGAAGGGCTGCCTTTGTGCACTCAAGGGAAATTCTTTCCACACTGCGTGTGAAGGGAAATGGTGCTGTGTCAGTGCTTCCTTCCCAAACACTGCCAAAATGCTCCTGTATATGGGAGCATCCTCTGAGTCAGGGAGGATCCCGCTGACCTTGGACCCTGACCCTGGAGCATCCTGCCCCTGAGGAAGCCTGTTTGTGTATCCCTTCATTAGCCTTTGAGTGTGCCTTTTCCTACCAACACACCATAACAATTTGCCCCACGGGACAGGGAGTTCCATGCCCCCGGTAGGCCCACCCTCATCCGCAGGCTCCTGGTGTGGGCTGGCAGCTCCCCTGGCCTCACACGCCGCCGGTGTTTAACTGCAGCATTTGGGCAGCAAATGTTCCGTGCAGCAGGAACAGCGGCTGTTCCCAGGTATTGATTAAACACCGGGACAAGGGCACTTTTCTCAGGCGTTGGAGGAGAATAAATGGGTTTCTCCTGCGTGTCGTCCTGCGGTGGATGAGGGCGTAGGAGGATTGGGGAGCCAAACTGCGGATGAGTCGTGAGAAAAATAAGCAATAATTCAGTGCTGGGCTCACAAACCCCTTTGTGCCGGGCTGTGGGAGGACCTCAACCCTCCTGGATCTCATTCTATGTCTCTGTGAGCCAGTGGAAAGCGGGACATGCTATCCAGCAGTAGCACAAGCTGTATTTGCAGGTTTTGCTGCAGGATGGGTAAAGTTTGCTGCTGTTTAGTTTAGGATGGGGCATTGCAGCACACCAGAGTTCATGTGTATCTCCCCTTTTTTGTGGGAGCCAAGCCTGGGAGCCAAGCTGGCCATGGAGAAGCCAGACAGCCGGTCTGTGCTGCCATCCCATGTCCAAGCACTAACCCTGCCTGCACAGGCAGCATCCAGCCCTGAGAGGTCCCCAGGGCTGCACCTTCCCTGGGTGGGGGTCCCACTCTCCCCCAGCTCCCCCCCACATCTCTAACCAGCACCCGAACCCCTCATTTCCATCCCCTTCTTCTGCAGTGCCATTGAGGCTCCCCAGATTTATCCCTTGGGATAACAGGGAAGTGATGACTATTTTTGTGACCATCTCTTGCTGGAGGTGATTGCACCAGGAATGGAAGTGCTGCCGGAGCCCAGTCAGACCCTCCTGGGGCATTTTTTGGGTGATTCCCCCACCCACATAGAGCAGGGCAGGCAAGTCCCTGACCACGGCCTCCTGTTCCCTTTCTCCCTGCAGAGTTCCAGGTGCCGGTGACTGAACCTGACATCAACAACAGGCTGGAGTCCCTGTGCCTGAGCATGACGGAGCACGCACTCAGCGGTGAGCATTCCCTCCTCCTCGGGCTCTTCCAGCACGTCCACGCCGCCTCCGCTGAGCCCCCTAGCACCTGCCCCTGCCCCGCGCCCCCCAAAAGCTGGGACAGGCTGTGGCTGTGAGGGGGCGGGATGGTGGCGGGGCTGGATGCAGGGATGCTCCCAGGGATGCTCCCGAGGGTGTTCAGACAGGGATATTGTCTCCCCTCGGCGAGGTGCCGGGGCAGGGGGTGAAGCCGAACACAGGGATCGCACCAGCACTAGTGGAGTCTGTGCTAATTAGCCACTCGTCAGCTTGCTAATGATAATTAGTGTTAGCTCGCTACTCTCGTTAGCTCTCGATAAAGCCCCTGCCACTGGATGGGTCACAGGCTTTGGAGTGTTTTCCCTTCTGCCACCGGATCCCTCGTTTGGCTGGGGGGTGTGGGAGCCCTGCCGGGCGCTGGTGGGTGCCAGTGGATAACGGGCACAGGGAGGGAGGAGGACCAGGGGGAAAAACAAGCAGAAAAGATGGAAAAAGCAGCAGCAGCAGCAGCGTGATGGAGAGCCCAGCGCAGCACAAAGCACCGGCACCAGAAGCTCCCAGTGCCCCTCGCCGACAAGGGATGAGCCCGGAGACGGGATGAGCACGGCCACCAGCATCGCCCAGACCTGGGATAACCCGAATAACCAGCGCAGGTCGTGCTCCCGGCAATCCTGGACTGCACCGGATGGTTGGGGACAGGAGTCCTTGGAGAGGATGAGAGCCACCCGGAGCCCTGGGAGAGGACAAGTGCCACCAGGAGTCCTCGGGGAGGACAAGTGCCACCGGGCTCCCTGAGGATGCGACAGCCCTTCCCGGGGAGAGGGACACGAGAACAAGGACTGTGAGAGGCAGCAGGGCCCTGGCAGCATCCCTGGCCGGGAAAACAAGGACACTGCTGTCACCCGAAGCGTTTCCCCGGCGTGTTCCCAGGCGAGGCTTAGCTGTCTTGTTCCTCTGCAGGGTACTGTTCCTCTGAGTTATTTTCTGCAGGTCGCATTCCCCGAGCCTCTCCAAACCGGTCGTGCTATAAATAGCTCTTAAAAAAATAAACCTTCGGGGGAGAAAAAAAAAAACAACAAAAAAGGCGTAACAAACCTGTTTGTTTTCAGTCTCGAGGAGGGAGGTGGCCGTGGTGCCCCGGGTGGCAGAACAGGGAGTGCTCTGTTCCAGAGCCACCCTGGGAGCTGCCCCACACCACTTTCCATCGCAGGGATGGGGGTTTGGGATGGGGGACAGGGGGGTGGTTGGGGCTGAAGGGTTGGAAATACTGTTGGGTGCTGATTTCTGGCCCCAAGGGGTGGGGAGAGGGGGCAGCTGGTAGCAGGTTGGTTGTGAGGCTTTGGGGTGGGTTGTGGATCCCTCTCTGCTGGGATTGGACTGTGGCTGGATGCATCCCTGCTGCCACAGGATGCTGGGAACAAGGGCTCTGGAGAGACAGAAACAACTCCCGGAGCTTTTTGTCCATCCATGTTTCTCATGGAGGAAAATTTTGCATCCTCTGTGGTGCGAGTTTTGCAGGACTGGGTGAGCTGGGAGGCAAGGCAGCCCCTGGGACTGGCTCCATCCCCTCACTCCTGGCCAGGGTGGCAGGAACTTGTCCTGCTGTAGGAGGGTCCCAGACTCTCATCCACCTTGTGGTGAGTCTGGGCTGCCGAGAAACCACCTCTGCTCCTGGAAGAGGGGTCGTGGCAGGCCTGGAATGGTGTTGGGACAGCGACGCGGGGGGCTGGTGCAGGGTGGGGACAGTTGGTGACACGGAGGGACCAGCAAAGTGGTGACACCCCAAAACCCTTCCACACCCCTTGGGGAGATTTGGGGAGGGGGGTGGCCCCGTGGTGCCACGTCGCCTATGGGGTGGTGGGTCGGGGGTGCTCCAAGGGGTCCATCTCTCAAATCCCCAGCTCGGGGAGGTACCAGTGCTCACTGGAGCTGTTCCTGACTCTCCCTTCCTTGCAGATGGTGTCGACAGAACCTCCACAATCTAGAAGGCGTCGCGACGGGGACGCTGGCCGGGACAACAACTGCTGCGGGTCCAGCGGCGAGGTCGGGGCTTGCAGGGAGCCTCAGCGATAGCTTGCATCCTTTCTCCTCTCCTCTCTCCTTCTCTCTCTCTCTCTCTCTCTCTCTCCTGTTTTAATTTTGTGAATGTGTAGATTGTCCTTGTGAACATATCATTAGACTTGGAATTTGTGTTGTCATTTATTACATCCATGCTGGGAGCGGGGTTGGGGGGGAAAGGTGGCGGAAGCTCAGCGGCGATGACGGAGCAGCGCGGGGAGGTCGGGGGGGACGCGGAGCAGAGCGCTGACAACAGAGGGGTCACCGGAGCACCGTGGGCAAACCCTGGTCCTGGATGAGGATACCAAGGAGTACTGAACGTCACGCAGGGTTGTGTGGCCCAAAAAGCCCTCTGGGGAGGATTTGCCTGCCCCGCCGGCGGTCCCGCCTCCTGAGTTCCGCTGCGTTCACGGACTGGCCCAGCGAGCCCAGATTTGAACGGAAATAGTAAAATAACCCCAGAATTTGCTTTCGGTTTAGCCAAGAGACCCACAGTTTGGAGGCAGCATTGTGCTCAGGGCAGCGGAGGGTCGGCGGGTGCCCATCCCTGTGTCCCTGCATGGATCGGGATGCTGGATGGAGTGGGGGCATCTCACCCAGAGGAGGGTCCCAGGGGATGTTGGTGAAGTTGGGGGACACTGCGAGAGTTTCGGTGTCTCTTGCCTTGCCTGTGCAAGTACCAGGAAGCTGCTGCATCCTGGCTTCACACATCTGGCCCAGCCTGCCAAAATCCAGCCATGATGGGCTCTTCCAGCCCTGGAGTGGCCAACAAGGGATGAAGGATCCCCCAGATAAAACCCAAGCCCCAAAGGGCACCAAAATGCAGCTTCACAGCCCTGTTTTCTTGGCATTAACTATGTGCCAGGCAGGAGATGGGGATGGCAGTGGCTGGGCTGCTCCTCACTCGCTGCTGCTTTTTATAACAGGAGCTAAATTTGGTGTTAAAGAGGTAAATCTGGCCTGGTGCTGCTCAGACCTGCAGCACTGCTCCCACCTCCCACTGGTCCCGATGCTGCTCCACGTCCTCTGATGGAATAATAATAAATGTGAAATTAGTTAATGAAGGGATGTGATGGGCTGCAGCAATATTCCCAATTGGCACTGACGGGCAGGATCATGTGCTGGGATCGGCGGGAGCCAGGCTGGGGGCTGAGGGGGAGCCGGAGCATTGGCAGGGCTGGGAGATGTGTGAATCCCAGGAGATGTGTGAATCCTTTTGCCATGCAGTGTTTTTTAAGTTGTTGTTTCCTAAAAAAAAAAAAAAAACGAACAAACAAACCAAACCCAAGTGCCAAATGCAATGTTTTATGTTTGCTGTTCCTTGGTGTCCTGCTTCCCAGCAGGCAGGAGACTGAGGCGGGGGTGATGGGGGGGGTGGAGAAGGGAAAACCCGAAAGCCAGGGAGGTTGGGAAGAGGTGTGAGGAGGTGGAGGCGAAGTGGGGGGTCAGCGCTGGGGACCTGGGTCACCCCCAAGCACCCCCAGCTTGTGAGGTGTGAAGGGAACCGCCGTAGCAGGAGCCTCCCTCGGGGAGGCTCCAGTGTATTTACAGAGCTGAAATTCTATTTATTCCTTCGCTGACTGTGGACACGGAGGTTTTCTGATTGTTCAGAGAGATTATTTTGGATATATTACCTATTAACTTGCTGTGGCTGGGAACCATGATAATGTCTGTTATTAACAACCACCAAATAATTCAATTGTTTTTTTTGTTCCTTTTGTTGTTTAAAAAGAAAAAAAAGCAAAAGAAAAAAGCTTATTTTCCATTGACAGTGTAGAGGTTAATAACGACTTAGTTGTGTTTGCTGTTTCTTGTTTTGTTTTTGTTTTTTTTTTAAGTAAAAACAACAAAGAAAGTGGCTTCAGTTGCGTTCGGGAAGTGCTGCCTGGCTCTGGCTGCCCGTGCTGAGTGCGGGCAGCAGTGCTCCAGGGGAAGAAGCATAAGAGGAAAAGAAATAAAAATTATTTATAGAAAGAAAAAAATCAAAAAAAGAAAAAAAAAAAGAAAACTAAAAAAAAAACCCACACAAACCCCAACAGTTGCATGAGCGAGGCTGTGAAGTCAAATATTCAGTAATAAAGCGGCAGTGCCTTTCTTTTTTGTATCCCCCGCTCACCCCGCTGCAACTGTCCCATCCCACGCCGGAGGAGTCGCCGCCGCGGGGTCCTGGGCGTGGGGCGGGAATGTCCCCCCCAATCCCGCTGCTCTCCCAGAGCCAGCCCCGGGCCCCCCCAGCACCGCCGGGGACCTTTTTCCTGGTGCTGTTCCCCTGAGCCGTCCCCGGCTGCGCGGGGAGCCCGGCCAGCTCAGCACCCAAGTGGCCTTGGGTCCGGCGGATGCTCCCGCGGGGAAACAACCCCTGTCCCTTCCAGGTGTGTCCCCCTCCCCAGGGACAAGCCCTGAGCTCGGCTGGGCTGGAGCTGGGCTTTACCTGTGCTCGCTCAGCTCATCAAAACCCTTGGAGGAGTTGGGAAGGGGGAGGTCAAGCCCGGCCAGCATCCAGCAGGAAAATCCAAAACTGTGATTGCCGCCCGCGAGCGGAGCCGGGGTTGGGTCAGCACTTAGGGGAAGCGATTTCTGTTGTCACCTTTCTCCATGTCGGGGTGTGGCTGCGCCCCAGGTTTGGCTTTTGGAATGTGCCTGATGGAAAGTGGGTCCCGCAGACGTCTATAATTTGCACACAGCGACGATAACACTAAAGTTGATTTTATACGAGTCATCAGAGTTTGCAAAGTGAGTTTTATTTTTTGTATTCCTTTATCTTTACTTAAAGGTGAATGTGTATTCCTCTGGGAGGAATAGGAAGAAAAAAGAAAAAAAAAAAAGAAAACTACGTAAAAAAAACCAGGAATGTTAATAATGTTAAACAGAATACTTCCTCCCTTATTAATATATATAACCCTGATGTATTTATGCCTATTGTAAGCTGACTTTAAAGAGCTTTGACCTCTCTTCTGTTGCATGCCGTTCCCGGGCAGCCTTTCCTTGTCCATGCATGCCTTTCGTCCTGGTTTTTCTGTACAAAGTTAGTGCACACAAAAGAACTATTTTTGCCTAGTTAATGTTGCCGAGCAATGCCTATTTTTTAAATTTTCCTTTTTTTTTTTTTCTTTTTTTTTTCCTTTTTTCGGTCATATATGGCAATAGCATGTTTGTTACATGTAAAAGCTTCCCGATATAAAGAAATACTAATGTTTGGAGATATGCCGGTCTTTGCAAGTGTACAGTTTTCCAATGTTGTTCCCAGTGAAAACACCCTCGTGATTTCCACTTGCTCCGATGTATTTATTACTCATTTCCTCCCATGTAACTCGGAACCATGGCTATATTTCATACCCGCGGTATATTGAAAGTGAAGGGAGATGATTAATACAAGGTTTTGTAACACTGGGGTGTGGCGCCTCCTTATTTATCCTCCTCTTGGCAGAATTTTTAACAAAAAAAAAAAAAATGGAATTAAACACACGTTCAGCCCCGTGGGCGAGAGGGAGGAGCCGTGGGGTTCCACAGGGGGTTTAGTGTCTTTATATATAAACTCGTGGCGGGGCTTCCGAATCCCTGGCATTCCCCACACAGCTGCTTCCGTGTCCCTTCGGGATGCCCACGCCCCGGGAGATGATTAGATGCAGGGTTTTCCTTTGCAATTGGCAGGGATTGGGGAGGGAGCAGCTCGGAGGCTGCGGGGGCACACGGAGGAGCCGGTTCGGCCTCAGCGTGTGCATGGAGACATCTGGGGTGGGATTTGAAGGTTGGGTTCCTTCTGGGCTTTAAACCTGCACGTTTCAGACCTGCCTGGGGCTGGAGTGGGTGGGGAAGGACACTCGGAGCAGACACTCGGCCATGGGAGGTGCTGAGGGCGGGACTGTGGCTTCTGCCCCTGCTTTTTCCATATTTTCTCAGACTGAGCCTCCACTTCTCCAGGCTGACCAAGCCCAGCTCTGCAGGCTCTTCCCAGCCAGTCCAAGCTCTGAATCATCACCTTGGCCATTCCTGCCCTTGTGTCCCTTTCCCTCCACAACACTGTGGGCCTCCAGAGACCTCCTGAGTGTCCTGGACACAGCTCACTGCCCCTCCACAGGCATCAGGGGTCTCACGTCCCCCACAAGGAGCAGAACTTGGAAACATGGGGCTTCTTCAGGTTGTTTAAAGGCTTCATCTGCTGCTCCTCCTGGGAAGAGACTCCTAGTCGGATCCCCAAATGTTGGTGAGGCCAAGCACTCAAAACCAAATCCTAAATCACCTTCTATTTAAGGATGCTCCTGAGCACCCCGGGCAGGACCACCCCAGGAGGGAAAGATTCCTCACAGTGTTCGGTCCCACCTGGATTTCCCGCTCCAGGAGAGCACCCACATCCACAGCCCAATGGCAACATCTCCCTGTGCCTGCCGGGAATCGGCCTCCTGGCACAGCTCAGGCAAGCATTACCTAAATCCCAGAGAAACACCATTTCCTTCCATAAACAGTCGGCCTTTCCAGGTCCGTGTGCCGCCGTCTGGGTCTCACAGCACGGGTTTGTTGCACTAACAGAGAACGAAAAGGGAAAGGAAAAGGCAAAAAAACCTCTGGGATGGAAAACCGGAGCTGGAGAGGCTGAAAAGGCTCCAAGGAAAGTCCGTGGCAGCCGTGTGGTTAGGGAGAGTCTGTGGGTCTCACCAGCGGGCGAGCTGGAAAGAGGCTTAAAATACAAAAACCTAAAGGAAAAAAAATAATTTCCGTGCTGCCAGGAGCTGTTGGATGAATCCATTCCGGATACTAAAGGCTTTCCCAACTGGTGCACCCAGATTACACCAGACCTGAGCCCCATCCCGCCCAGGGGTGGTGGACGCCTCTTTTCCTGCCCCAAAGAGGCTGCAGCCCATGTCCAGCTGGGAGCAAGGTCAGAGCTGGTGGCCACTGTTTTAGCAGCTGCTGGGCTGTGGTGATCACAGCAGAAGCTGGATAACCCCAGGTTGTCTTGTTAACAGGATCTTTTCCATGTCTACCTATTCCAAAGGGTGACAGAGAAGCAGCCCCAGCCCTGGAGCCAACCAGGTATGCCCTCCAAAGGGATGCTCCTGTTCCTTTGGCCCTGACCCTGGCTCCCGGTGCAGGTACAAGTGTCTCCTATTTAACAGCGAGGGGAATATCCCAGGGAACAATCCTTGAGCAGCAGCAGGCAGGGATTTCCCACTGCAGGGAAGTTTTTAATCAAGACAGAGAGGGCTTTACCAGCAGAGCTCCTCGAGTTCAATGAATAATTAATTCCCCACGTCTTTTGGCTGCAGCTTCGCCGGAGAACCTGGATGATCCCGGTGGGCTGATCCCTGCCAACCAGTGATCCACCCCCAGGATATACAGATTGGTGCTCCTTGGAGCCAGCAGCATGACCCCTTCACTCAGCACAGCCTCTGCCACCTCCTTGTGAGCAGCAAGTGATGCCACAGGGCCTCCAGGGAGGATAATTCCCAGAGCTGGTGCATCCCGAGGCTTTGAGGGGCTGGTTGTTCCTGCACGTGGCCTGGTGCTGTTTCAGCTCCCAAAGGCAGATGTGTGACAGCACTTCCAGGGAGTGAACTCGTCACACTGAGCACTCCAGGGAGCTGCTTTTAATTGGGAATCTGCAAATGGCAGCAGGGGGAATGGTTTTAAACTAAAAGAGGAAAGATTTAGGTTGGGTGTTGGGAAGGAATTCTTGGTTGTGAGGGTGGGGAGGCCCTGGCACAGGTTGCCCAGAGAAGCTGTGGCTGCCCCATCCCTGGGACTGTTCAAGGCCACTTTGGATGGGGCTTGGAGCAACCTGGTCTAGTGAAATCCCCGTGGCAGGGATTGGAATAAGGTGATCTTTAAGGTCTGTTCCAACCAAAACCAGTCTGTGTTTCTATGATTTTCCCTCTTTTCTCTAAGAAAACACCCTGCTGACCAAGCCTGATCAGAGGAGACATTGCCCAGGCTCAGCCAAAATTCCCACTTTTCTACAGAAAATAGATTTTTGGCCAATTTTAAATAACCATAATAATTAAAAATAAATCCATCCTGGCAGGTGGCCCCTGCTTTCGGACAAACCAGCTCCATCCCCATCCCAGCAGAGAGGCAGCACAGGTGAGTGTTTGCAGTGTCAGGATGCAAGGGAGGGGCTGGATGCCCCTCTCCCACCCCCGGCCACTGGCCTGGCATCGGGGTGATCCCTGGGCCTCCCTAAAAAGCATTTCCAGGCCCGGGAAAGCTCCTGTTCCTCCACTGCGGCGAGCAGAGCTCGGGGCCGGGCTCAGCAGAGGGAGCCACAGACTGTGTGTCCCCGGGCAGGCGCTGCCGAGGCCGGGACCAGCCCCTCTCCCCATCCCTGACCCTGGGCATCACCCAACCGGAGCCAGAGCCTTTGCGAACTCCCTGCCAGCGATCTCTCCCTCCTCCCACTGCTGCTTCCCTACGAAACCTTTCCCATCCTTCTCTTTCTCTCCTCCAGCACCAACACCCATTTCCCTCCCCGTGGAGAAGAGTCTGGAGAAGGTGAGCACAGACCTGAGGTGAAACCCCCCCCCGGAGCCCAGGGCTGGCACCCCAGGGCTGCAAGGATTTGGGTCCTCACAGCCAAGGGCTGTCACCCAACACGGCTTCAACCACAGAGATCACAAAGCCACAGAATATCCTGAATTGGAAAGGACGTACAAGGATCATCGAGTCCAATTCCTGGCCCCGCACAGGACAATTCCAGCGATCCCACCACTTGCCTGAGAGTGTTGTCCAAACACTCCTCGAGCTCTGGCAGCCACTGCCCTGGGGAGCCTGTCCCAATGATTGTATCTTGACATTTTGCCTTTTTCCTGCACATCCAGCATGTCCTGGCTGGAGCAGCGAGGTCATTTCCTCCACCCATTCCCACAGCTCTCCAGCGGGTCAGTGCACAGTTGCTACTGGACAAGGGAGCTAAATAAAATGCCAGCTGTGGGGTGAGATACATCTTCCCTGGTGGAACCACAGGATGCTGAGAGGGTTTACAGGCACCCAGGGCCAGGGCAGGACGGAGCTGAGGTGTGGACACCCTCCCACAGCACCCGGCTCAGCATTCCCAGGTCACACGTGGAGGTTGGATGGAGGGGCACCCACCCAGGAATTGCTCCCTTGGTGACATTCACACATCTCAGGCCAAAGCAGCAGCCCTGTGGTTTGCCCTGGCGCTTTTTAAATAGTTTTCAGGCCCGTGCAGTTGAGTTGGTCTCTCCTAGGGTGGGTTTTTAACCTTTGCTTTCCTGTCGCAGTCTTGGACCAAACAGAGGTGACGTGGTACAGTTCACTCTGCCAAAAATGCCCCCACAGAGCCCCAACACCAAAAACAAAACGCAAAGTTGTTAAAAAACACAAATAAATTCCTCATGATTATATTCTCTGGGTATTTCAGCAAAATGTCTTTGAACGCTGTGATTTATTTTCTGTCCCTCCCAGGTCAAGGCTTATGAAAAAGAGCTTTAATTTTTTTTATGCCCCCTCAACTACTAAATCACGAGTGGAACTTTAAAAACAACTGGAAGGCAAAGCTTTTCCTAGAAGTTATTTCCAGGAGCTGGGCAGGAGGGCTCAGCCAAGGCTCAAAGGGCAGAGCTGATTGTGGGCCCCTTCCCAACGCCGACAGCGCTCCGGGGGCAGGAACCAGGGGACAGGTGATGAACTGTTTGAGCTCATTAAGCAGCTCAGAGATGCTGGAAGGTTGTGAGGGATGCACGAATCCTCCAGGATGATCCAAGCCCTTGCCTGCAGCCACTGAGTCACTGGAAGGCAGATTTTTGGCTAGAAAGAGCCAATTTTGGGGTCCATACCTGTGGAAAGTTGCCTGAATCAAAACCATCATGGTGGGCTTGGCAGTGCTGGGATAATGATTTAACTTAAGGATCTTAGAGGGTTTTTCCAGCCTTAATGATTCCCTGTTAAACCTGCACCCAGAGGTGGAGCACAAGGGGTGAGGACCAAAGAGCCTGTGCCCAGGACCTGGTTGGATATGGCACAAAGACTTATGGACCAGTCACTCCACAGCACGTGGGCAGGAGATGATGGGAGACACCCCAAAGTAACCACAGTGATAGGAAAAAAAAAAAAAAGGCACAAAGAAGCTGCTTATATGGGGGGTTCTTGAGGAAAAAATATGGATAAGCTCCCCAGGAAGGGAGCAACTAATAGAGCAGGTGGAATCCTGGGAGAGGTGATAGGTCAGGGATGGGAAGATGTCACCTTATTAATAGGTTATGCTTCTTTTACAGATTTGGTTCTTTTGGTTTTGTTTGGCTTTTGTTTGGTTTTTGTTTGGTTTTTTTTAGCTGTAAACACTTTCAAGCTGGGTATTTTTTCACCCCAATGAAAACAGATTTTTCCCATGATCACAAAACCAGGGAGGCTCCTTCCCAATCCCACACCTAA